TGTTAGGAAAGGCTTATGTAAGAGCAGCGTCAATGGAAATTTCTATAAATGGCTTTAGGAAATGCGGTATTACACCTTTTAATCCTGACACACTTCATGACAACGATTTTGCCATTCACGAAAAATTAGAAACTTCTCTACAGGATGGTAACACCAGGGAAAAAAGCCTTCGGAAACGAATATCGAGAAAGAGGCAGCCCACACTCCATCAGTTGATAAAACCAAAACAAACGTCGTCATTTTGTTTTGATTCAAGATAACGTAAAAACTACCGTTGTGACTTTTGTACGGATGTTAAAGTTGAAGCTGCTTTTCATTTTATAATACCTAGTATAAATTTTTAATACTCTGTACAGTCAAATATTTGCTTTTTTCAAGATTTTGTATTTTGCACATTAAATGTTTTGTTTATTTAGATGTCTATTATGCATATTATCATTACTAATATTGTATACGCCACTCAATATTAGGCGACCTTTTCCTTAACTCACGATTTTGACATATTCTCCTAAACATTTTCTCATTGTTAAAATGTTTCTTTTATAGTTAGATCCCCTGTCCTAACTGTTAAAAAATAGTAACGTAATTATGTTATTGAGGAAACAGAAGTCTCACATTAATTTTTTTGTAAAAATAATCCGATTGAAAAAAACGTATCCAATATTAGGACACCTTCCTCTACGATTTTTTTTATGAAATTCAATACAATTTTATAAAGATATTATGGCCCACTAAGTGCTCATAAGAAATCCTACGCCAAGTTGCTACTTTTTGAAATTCTTGGAAAACTCTAGGACACATTTAGTAGCGAGAGTATCTGAGAAACTATTACCATTCAAAGATATGCAATATCCACTACAATCAATAATCCTTGAGGAAAAACCTATTTCACAACACATCATTTTATGTATGGGCACGTCAAATCAGAAATTAGTACCCGAGATTAAAATGTTCAGTCTCTCATCAAGTCTCTCTGGTGTCGCTGAGAGAGACTGTGGAAAGACTGTCAAAAAAACTGTTTAGCGTCTTTGAACGAGAAAGTCGAGTCCCTCATAGAGAGATCCTCATTTCGTATCCAGTCTCTGAACGAGAGACTCGAATCTCTAAATGAGAGACTCGAATCTCTCAATAAGTGGTATCTCGATAGACATGGTTAAAATTTTCTTAAAAAGTTCAACATATTTCAGAAATCCCAGTCTTTCTACGAGATACTCGAGTCTCTCAATTTTTCAGTTATATTCATTCAGTCTCTCTCTGGAATTAACAATTTTATCGTTCGAGCCTCTCATACAGAAACTATGAGATATCCATAAAAACACCTAGGCAATAACTGAGAGTCTGTGAGAGACGCTCTCAGAGACGCTGAAAGACTCTGAGAAACTGGAGAGAAACTGAAAATCTTTGCCTAGAGATTATACGTAGGTCTTTATTAATTATAATAAACTGTAACCCTCAACAACAAATCTTAATGGATTTTTTATAGTTTGTCATGGAAACTTCTTAATATATATTTAAATCTTCACTTAAATCTCTACCATCTAGTCCCAGCAAACGTCCTTTATTACTTTCAATGGTGGAGTTTATTTTATTATTGTATAACGGATAAGTTTTGCAATAATAACTTAGGTACTACCTACATGTATGTATGTACGTATGTGTATAATGTAGATAAGCACATTACATTCATGTATCAGTGAAGTGCACGCGTTTTTATATAATAACTGCTCCTCGTGATNAGGGATAAGGTTCACCTATACCAACTGAACTACGAACAGTAATAGAAATAACACCTGAGAAAACCATACCGTCTCATTGAACACAAATAAGATTTATAGAAGAGTAAAAAGAAAAAGAATTTAATATTCAACAGCGAAAAGCAAGAAAATGATTAAATTCTCGTAAGCTGGATTTATCTTGGAGATATCAGAAAAATTGCAGAGAAAAACCTAATGCTACATACCTTAAACATTTAGATAATAACTTTAGGATTAAATTACAAAAAAATTGGGTGAAAGATTAATTAATATTTTTACTAACTTATGCCCAGATTTTATTTATTTAAACGTTAAAAATACAGTTGGATCCATAGGTAAATTGGTTAAGATTCTTCTAGAAAACGTATAAACATTGAGTCATATCATATTGCAACCTAGTGAAATATTAATTAACATTTCCTAGAACTGTGTTTTTGTCATTATTTTAACTAACCTAATAAACTAATGTAAACTAAACCTAATAAACCAATGTAAAGGACTAAAGCTTCCGCAGACGGTTTTATCTCAACAGTGCTCGTTATTCGGGCTTGTAAGCCGATGAAGTGGCTCCTGCCATCCAATTTTGACCAATGATTTGGGCATGAGACGAATCGCCGCGAAATTCATACCAAAATTGCTCAATTTCGACCAAAAACAGCTTCGCATTAATTGCTAAGGAGCTGTTGGGTTCTGTCCACAAATTTGCTCTAGAGGATCATAAGTGGTGACGAATCATGGGTTTATCCTCATGACGTGGAAACCAAAGCTCAATCATCCCAACTGAAGCTGCCGCACGAGCCAACACCGAAAAAAGCGCGCCAAGTTAGGCCGAACGTGGAGATTTTGCTTACAGTTTTCTTCGATTGCAAGGGCGTAGTGCATCATGAGTTCATGCCACATTGTAGAAGGGTCAATAATGAAAATTACCTGCAAGTGATGCGCAATTTGCGCGAAGCAATCCGCCAGAAACGCCCGGATTTGTGGAAGAAGAAAAATTGACTTTTGCACCATGATAACGCCCTTGCTTACACATCGTTGCTTGTGCGCGAATTTTTAGCCAAAAACAAAATTAATAATTCCGCAGCCACCATGACTTTTTCATGTTTCCGAAACTGAAGAGGCCCATGAAAGGACAATGCTACGCTACGATTGAGGAGATAATGACGACATCGAAAGAGGAGCTGAACAAGATCACAAAAAATAATTTTTTGAAGAGTTTCGACGATTGTAAGAAACGTTGGCACAAGTGTATAATATCTAGTGAAAATTACTTTGAAGGGGCAAAATATTCATGAATAAATCAATAATTTTTGGAAAAACACAAAATTCGTGATACTTTTTGAACAGACCTCGTACCTTCTAATGGAAATTTATCGGCAGTAATGGTTGTTTTACCGACAGTCCATTCTTTTTAAAATGTATTTTGACGGTTTGGGAGTTCTGATGTCATGTGTCATTGGAAAAAGTGGCAATCATGCTAATCTGAATACTGATAATAATCAACCAAGTATGTGGGACGATTATTATCGAAACATGGGATGTATAAAAAATACAATCGACGCAATTGTTGCAGGAATGGTTGTACTATATGAAAGCCCGAATATCGAGGAGTAATCGCATACGAGGTGTGTCCGCAAAATAAGATATCCAAGACGCTAGACCCGTGGGGAGCAATTCTACGCATCCGACAACACGGCCGTCTAACTTGGTTTCCCCCTCTTTAAACCCCCCCTTTCCCCGCCCAGTCCGCTGCAACGCTTAGACATAACCACAGTGTCAAGAATACTGCCCTCATTGATGCCCATTCCCGCCTTTAGACGCTAGACCTGCGAGGAGCGATTCTACACAAAATCCGATAACACTCGCGTCTAGCTTAACCCCCTCCCGGCCAGTCCGCTGCAACGCTGTCTTAACAACAGTGTCAAGAACACTTTCCCCATTGATACCCAACCTCGCCAATAGCCCAGACTTAGTACCTAATGATTTTCATCTTTTTCCCGTTCAATATTGAGATACCTGGTTTATTGATACAAGTTTTTTGTCAAACTAACTATTAATATCTCAGATGTTAATCGATTAAGTAAAATTTTCAGGTTATGACACGTTTATTGCTTAAATGGATGCGACAAAATAAATATAAATTTCCTAATATCGTCCCCTTTCGTGAACGTTATATATCGTCCCCGGGACGATATTAGGATCTCGTGTGGTGAACATAGCGTTCATATCACTTCATTTTGCATGTAACTTTAGAATGTTATTTTTTATTTTTTAGATGCCGAAAAAAAAAACTGTTGGATGCTGGAGCAATGACAAAAGCTGTTGAAGCCGCACGAACGAATGAAATGTGTTATAAGGAAGCAAAATGATTTGATGTTCCAAGACCTACTTTAAAAGATTACGTCAAAAATTTGGAAAGATCTGTAGAAAGTTTGGTGTCTGGAAAAATAGGAAGAAAACCAGTTCTGCCGATAGAATTGGAAGATGATGAGCTGGTAAAGTGTTGCTTGCAAATGGAAAAAAAAAATTATGGTGTCACTTTTTCTGATTTAAAACGAATGGTGTTTCAATTGGCGATCAGAAATAATATTCCACATCCATTTTCACTGACCAAGAAGAAAGCAGGCAAAAAATGGAAAAACGGGAAAGTTGTATATGGCTCGTCGTCCTGAACTATCATTTCGTCATTGATCGCAATGAAGAATATGTCGAAAAATATCTGAAAGTTCATACTTTTCATCAATGTAGTATTCATTACTAATACACGTGTTTTCTATTTGAATAAAAATGGGAGATCTTATTTTGCGGACACGCTTCGTAATTTAAAAATTATCTATCTATAAATATCTTAGGATGTTCTGAAGGAATTCCGAGCTGTTATGGTATCCTCTTTAAACACATATATTTGTTCATATGGACTTTTATCAAATTTTCCGGTATACATTGGATTGTAATTATAAATGAGGTTATTCCTCAATTCTTCCAAATTATTAAAGGAATTATTGTTTCTTCTTGCTTCTGACAGAAAGAAATTCGCAAAATATTGTGCCACTAATACAGCCTCCTTAGAATGAGGTATACCGGAATTAAGTTTGAATTCAAACAAGTTTTTCTCAGGATGGAATTGTAAGCCATAAAACGGATATTTTCTTGATTCAAAAGTTGAAATAAATTCTAGACCGTTTCTATCCTTATTGGTCGATATAACCATCCAATCTTCATCTAAACCGAATCTTGTAAAATTTTCTTTGGTTAAACAGAAGCCATGACTATTGAGAGTAACATTGCGCCTAGTAAGAGCGTCTAATATGTTTTTTTCGGCATCTTTAAATAAATTACTTTGTTGAAGATCTGAAACAAACAAAAAGAAATTTATGTAAAATACAATTGAATACAAAAAGCAATAACTACAAATACTTTTGCCAGTTACATTAACTGAAACCAATACACGTACCTTGTTAACAACATGGTAACAAACAGAAGTTGCAATTTTTCTTATAGGTTAATATTGTTGGGACGCTCAAGAAGAAGTGGCCAATTTTAGGTATCTAAGAAGTTATATAAGCCAGGATGGAAGGAGTAGTAGTAATATAAAGTAGAGGATAAATCAGGGTCGCGAACGGTTAATAGATGGAGATACCGTGGATATAGAAGGTTAGAAATGAAGAGGTATTACAAAAAGTAAGAGAACAGAGGACTCTATGGAAATCAATAAGAAATAGGCGAGTTAGGTTAGTAGGACACCTTTTCAGGCATAAAGGTCTAGTCAGAGACATATTAGAGGTAGAAACAGAAATTAGGAGGGGTAGAGGTAGACCTAGATCACATAATTGGCAATAAAACTGTCGTATTTACTTTCTTCTTTCAACTTACTACTAGACTGGAACAGTTGCTGGCAGAATGCCTACTTTTGCTCACAACAGACATTGTAAGGAATATCGTAATCATAGAAAAGACATTGCATCATCATCATAAGGTCGTCAGTCCTAAGACTGGCTGGACACGCACCTCCACTCTTTCCTATCCTGAGCTAATCTTTGCATTTCCCTAAAACTAGAACAACCTATATCCTTAACTATTTGCGAACAGTGATCTAATCTAGGTGTACCTTTACCCTTCCTAACTTCCGTTTCTGCCTCTAATATGTCTCTGACTAGACCTTCATGCCTGAGAAGGTGTCCTACTACCCTAACTCGCCCACTTCTTATTGACTTCCATAGAGTCCTCTGTTCTCTTACTCTTTCTAATACCTCTTCATTTCTAACCTTCTCTATCCAGGGTATCCTCATCATTCGCCTGTAACACCACATTTTGAACGCTTCTAACCTTTTCTTTTCCGCCGCGCCCACGTCCATGTTTAGCACCCGTACAACGCCGTGTTCCAAACATACACCTTTAACAACCTTTACACAGAAGTTCAACATTCTTAGGAATTCAGAAAAGATATAATTCCAAAGACGACCCTGTCTTTTTTCGTACCTATGGAACCTGTACTAGCTGCACCGGCTGCTATTATTCGGTTATCTCTGTTCGTTTTGTCTGTACTACTCATGAAGCACTAACTTAACGAGAGCGTATTCTTGGAAAAAAGAAAAAGTTTAAGCAAACAAGTTGTGACTGATGTAATTAACCTTATTCTTAATATTTAAATTTACAAAATTTAAACACCCATAACGGCATGTATTGTAGTAGCCGTGTCCAACGGGAGGAAAAGTTCAACTTTCTGAACATTCAAAACCAGAAAAGCACCCAGAAAGCTGTAAAAAGCAGAGAAAGGCAGGAGAATATACATAGCTTCTATGTTTGCAAAAGACCAATAGGAAATCTACCAAAGGTAAAGCTAAGATGGTATTATACCGACAGCAAAATTTTGGCAGAACATAATCACCCAATTAAATTAATAGAACAACTATAATACGTGCAGATTTTGAATTTGCCAAACGGATAAAAGTTGTAAGAAGTAAAATAACAACAGTCATCAAAAACTCACAGGAGCTTCTCAGAAAGTCCATTTAATACAACATCAAAAGTAATAAATTCAGTTTCATATTATACGAGTCAACAGATAATTCATGTGCAAAACATTTCTGTTTGGTGTTTAGAATGAATGCTAAGTGTCAAAAAATTAGTTTTACAAAAAAAAGGGAGCCAATCGAATTCAGTTACATGCTGGGTACAGATGTCTTGACTACGGTAAATAGTGTTAGTGATCTAGGTGTCACTTTCGATTCTAAATTGTTATTCGCTTCTCGTATTGATCATGTATTAGTGAAAGCATATCAAATGTGGAGTTTCTTGAGGCGAAATTGCAAAATTCAAAAGATTCTTTTGTAACTTTATTTAATTCTACGGTGCGCCCTCATCTCGAATACGGCAGTGTCGTTTGGTCCCCTTATGGAATAACGTCATCCATAAAAGTCGAATCTGTACTCCGCATTCCGTCGAGACCAACATGACTGCATGAACCCTTTGCCATCGCGAGAAAGCGAACGGATGTTGGACGAAACGATACCTTCGTCAGAGCTCTGATTCTCGCAAACGGGCTTTCGCAATCGGCAAACTTTTTTTGTGATTCAGAAACCTTAAGCGAAAAGTAGCAACTTACCTGACTGAATTAGGGCTGTGATACACTGCTATTCTAGGCTTATCTAACATACGATTGTTTACTTTACAGAACTATTCATGATTATATTTATATCGATCTCGTTATCTTTTTTATACACTTTGTCAAATCAAATTATTTATACATAACTATTAATTCTACTCTGTATTCTTTTTCGAGGGTATTCCCCGTATAATAAATAAATAAATGAGTATTTAATGTAAAATTGAAGATGGCACTTTGAGATTAACATCTGTAGCGAAAATCACTGGTTAATATTATCAACTCCTTAAAAAATTTAGTGATTTTGCTTCGGATGGAGATAGTAATATGTATAATTTTTAAGAAGCATACCCTTTNCGTGCTGTCAAACCTACACTAGCAAGGAGATCGGGCTGAAACTATAGCTACAAGCTATCCAAGGATGGTACTATAGAATGTCACCTCAAGGTAGGCCTAGTGGCGTCATCTCTTGGTTAGGCCGGAAACTTATCAATCCACCCTCGTACAACAATAAAACACGGGCTAATGATCTTCTAGAGCGGCTTGTATCGCTTATAGAAATTATAATTACTTTCAAATTTTACTAAAATGTAATCAGATACGGAAAATTGAAGGAAAATTTTCGCTTTAACGCCAAACATTTTAATTTTTGTTTCGAAGACAAAGCTTTTATGTAGGTGCAAGTTGTGTTGTTTTTTCCTATAGTAACACCTTATGATTTATTACATTTTTTTGTTTTGAGTACGGTAGTGAAAATTTATGGTAATAATCATCATCATAAGGTCGTCAGTTCTAAGACAGGTTGAACAAGTACCATTACTCTTTCCTATCCTGAGCAAACCTTCGCATTTCCCTAAAACTAGAACAATCCACATCCTTAACTATTTGCGAACAGTAATCTAATCTAGGTCTACCTCTAACCCCTCCTAACTCCTGTTTCTGCCTCTAATATATGTCTCTGACTAGAATTTCATGCCTGAGGAGGCGTCCTACCAATCTATCTCGCCTATTTCTTACTGACTTCCATAGAGTCCTCTGTTCTCCTATTCTTTCTAATACCTCTTCATTTCTAACCTTTTCTATCCACGTTATCCTGAACAAACGTGTTATATAATAAAACAAAATTGAAACCCAGGTCGGATTATCAGCCCCATCAGACTCAGATTTTGCCATAACACAGAAGTTTTATTCAGGACTTCCAAACCAAAATTTTTTAACAATTTGACTTCAAACATCTTCATCAAAATAAATACTAGGTCTGTTCAAAAAACATCGCGAATTTTGAATTTCCGAGGGTTATGTATATTCCATTTTCAAAATTTTTGTGGCGTTGTGTTGGTACTCATGTTTTTCACTTATACCGACAAGTTTGGTCATATTGAAAGTTCATTTAATTTTTGATAGCTGTTTTGTTTGCAAGTGTTTTGGCTCGTTTTCGACTTTTGCCTATTCCAAAAAATGGATCAAAGAATCTGTATCAAATTTTGTGCGAAAACCAGAATTAAGTGCACGGACGCATTCCGAATGTTGATTGTGGCATATGATGAAGCTACCTTGGACCGAACCAACGTTTATCAGTGGTACAAAATATTCTCAGAGGACAGAGAAGATGTGAATGACGAAGAGCGTGCAGGATGCTCGAGCAAGTCAACAACAGATGAAAACATTGATGAAGTGAAGAAAATAGTATTGGCCAATCGTCGAATCACCGTTAGAGAAGTTGCTAGGGACCTAAGCATATCGACTGGCCCCTGTCATTAGATTTTTACCAACGATTTAACATGAGAAAGGTCGCCACGAAGTTCAAAACAAAATTGCTCAATTTCGACCAAAAACAGCATCGCATTAACATTGCTAAGGAGCTATTGGACTCTGTCCGCGACGACCTAAATTTGCTCCAGAGGGTCACAACTAGTGATGAATCATGGGTTTATCGTCATGTCGTGGAAACTAAAGCTCAGTCATCCCAATGGAAGCTGCCGCACGAGCCAAGACCGAAAAAAGCGCTCTAAGTTAGATCGAATGTGAAGGTTTTGCTTACAATTTTCTTCGATTGCAGGGGCGTGGTGCATCATGAGTTCTTGCCACATTTGCACGAAGCAATCTGACACAAACGCCCGGATTTGTGGAAGAACCAAATTTGGCTTTTGTACCATGAAAACGCCCCTGCTCACACATCGTTACTTGTGCGCGAATTTTTAGCCAAAAACCACACTACCACCACCATGACTTTTTCTTGTTCCCGAAACTGACGAAGCTCATGAAAGGATAACGGTACGCTACGATTGAGGAGATAAAGACGGCATCGAAGGAAGAAGTGCTTATAAGATGGGAAAAAACGTTGGCAGAAGTGTATAGTATATGGTGAGGATTACTATGAAGGAGACAAAATAGATATAAGAGGGGAAGAACGGGGTAAAATGACGAACTTCTGCATTTAAATAACAATTTTTTTTTTGAACCACTGGTACTGACGCGATCTCAGTACCAATGCCCGGCATTAAAATTAATATGCAGTTATCAGGCCCGCCTGTAACCTCTCAGTAAGTGTATAAACCGAATTTGTTACAAGCGATTGTTTCATATTTGTAAAATAAGTAAAATTGTTGATGTTTTTGTTTCTGTTTAATTTTACCATCAAAATTTTGGGCGATGATGATGACGATGGTAAGATGGACAAGTTTTCGTGAATTAGATTAAATATAGGCGTCTAGAATAATGGATGCTGAATAAAAAATAACTTACCCATTGGTTTTATTGACCACTGTTTTATAATACGTATCATTTTGTCCTATCCTGAAACAATGGGAAATAGTAAATGAAAAATAATTTTTTTGTTTAGGATTAGGCTGGGTAAATATGAAACAGGAAAGAAATGGGGGAAAAAGAGCAAGCTTGTAATTAGTATTTTTTTATATTAAAATTGTGAAGATCCTCATATTTATAGTCTAACTTAGATCTTATGGAATTTTAAATCCAAGAGTGGATGATGATGTGAATCTCGTACATATTTTCTCGTTAGATGAGGTTTAAACATTTAAATTTATATCTAAGAAACTAATTAAATAAAAGCTAAAGATGCATTCGGAGCTTTATTTTCAGAAATTACAAAATTCAGGTAATGTCAAACTGGGATTTTCCGCCTCACATTCTTTTTCTATTTCGAAAATCGTTAACAGTGTAACAATAGAATCAGTGGAGATTATACATTTATTAATGGATTTACTGCAACTGGTATTTATCTCCTAAATAGAAATCAGTACCCCCATAGAAAGATTTGGCAGTGAAAATTAGAATGGTATCACGCAAGAGGTGCTCAAGCAGTTGATTATTCAGATCATGATAATGTAGATGCCGATAAATAGCTGCAGAATACAAAAAAGCATCTTGCAGAAAATAATAGGGCAGATATAGTTGGAAAGTCTGATATAGAAACACAGAATACGGATGCAGGAGCTTCAAATGTAGTGTAAGTGCACCTGTTAAACTGTCGGTGTCGCTGAACCTTCCATCGCGAGCTGAATGTTCTAAGAACGCAAAAACCTCGTTCGAATGTTTGTTACTGAAGAAAACAATAAGTAAATCAACCCTTTCTGTAAAGAAAATGCCACACGATAATCATCACTAGTACAGAACTTATTCCGCTTATAAGAATATGATACAATGAATAAAGAAAAGGATGTTTCAGCAAAAACATTGAAAGGATGGGAGAAGAAATTAAGTGAATCTAAACCAAAGAGTTCCAGTGAGACGGAAGGTATTTCTCCACATTGAAGGAGATTCGGATAACAGTTTATATATCGTGGACATAGAAGTAGGTAGAAATGAAGATTTAGGAATGAATGTGGCAGAGAAGGAAATTGAAGTAAATGTCGGGAACTATATTTGTTAGGTACACGGGGTAGTCGGGTAGAATTGTAAACAAATTGTAAAGAGTGTCCTATTATGTTCGTCACGTACAGTTTATTACAGTTTTATTGGTATTAATAGCCAAAATTCCCCTCGGCTGCATTCTTGTAGATCCAATGAGCGCCTACCTGGGGGTAGGATAATATTATGTTTTTACATTATAGTTAGATATAGTAATTTCATAGATTTTATAAAATTTTAAACCAGTGCTATTATAGACTCGCTGGAGAAAACATCATCTCCATAAGACAATCACGATTATCCTAATTCATTCCTATTGATTTTTATCATCATTTTTAATTAATCGGTATTTGTAGTTTTAAAGTTAGTTTATAGTGGATTAAATTTAAGTTAAATTAAATATAGTTATTTCTACAATCACTACAACTACGTGTCTTATTTCATGTGGTACTTAGTACACCCCGTTGACAATAGTTTATATAAAAAACTTAATCAACGATAAAACANAAGGAGAGATGCAGTCTACATGTAAATGTACACAGGATTAAAACTAAATGGATCTGGAATAGAAGTTGTAGGTTTAAAAATTTTTAAAAACACTGTCTACACTCGTCAAAACAGATTAACTGTTGTAGATCGCGTTGATATACTACAAGTACTTAAATTGAATTATTCTTTAAAAATTTAAATCTAATTAAATATTTTCTAAAGTTAGCATTTTAAATAATTTTTTAAGTAATACTGAATAGGTTAGATAGGTATTGCAATTGTTTAATTCAATAAAATAATTATGTATGACAGGAAAGTATTTTTATTTCTAATATTAAGACTATCGCAGGTATTTTTGCGAATAAACGATGAATATTAAAATAAAACACAATAATATAATTAAAAAAACAACTCGACAATTGTCTTGAAAATGACCGATTATCAACTCTCATCATAGATGGTGAACAGTGTCCAACGCTAATTTAAAACCGATTCTTGTCAGAACCACAGTAGTTCTACGCTATGTTACGGACCAATTTATAAAATAATAATTAAGTTTTTATAATTTAAAACAGTTATCATTCTAATTTCAGTTTATCTTCTCAAAATTTGAAATATTCTTTGTCTTGGTTGTAAATAATAATTACATTTATCAAAATTTTGTTTGGAACATTCATTGCCCAATTGTTATTAAAACTATTGTTTCGGACATTCTCTGTTTAAACTATTGTAAGCCATATTTGTTCACGAATGAGAAAATTCAATATTGATTGGCATTGGCAAAAGACACACCAGTCATATTCATACAAGCATTCAGTTCGATATCGAACTACCGAACATATTTGAAGAAGTTAATAATTAATTGTATCCCTTCATTATTATTATGAATAAAACTAAAGTGAAATAAAAACGAAAATAAAATACAAATAATAAAAGTAATCAACCGAGAAACCCTGGTGAAACCCTACATCACCACATTAGACTACAGTAAGATAGAAGTGTTTCACTTTTTCCCTAACTTGCTTCATTTCTTCCCAAAGCGAAAGTTAAAAATGAAACAGTATGTGTTTTCTTTATTTTAATGTGCTTGCAGTACAGCACAATTAAAAATGAAAAAAATATTTTAGGAAGCTATTGGAAACTCCAGCTAGTGAAAATAATTTAAACTTCAAATTGTATCCTAATCTACCAAAATTATGAATGTTTTAAATTTTGCTTCACTTTTACCCCACTTGACCTGTTGAGTCGCAATATTCATTTTAGTATTTGTATATTTTTTCGGCATTTATTTTTATAGTTCTAGTGGAATAGTTATTTTATTATTATTAGAATATTTTCAATTGTATACATTTTACAGCAGTTATTTGGGAATTGTAGTTTGCCGACCTTCGAAGTTCAACAAATTTTATGGACCATTGTGTCGAGTTCTAATGTAATATTCAGTTTCTTCTATTCAAACACGAACACCCCAATAAAGTTCAATTGGGTTTTCTCTTGGGTCTGTTTCCCAGAAGTCAAGGCAAACTGCAAATTTCTAAAGATGCGTTGCACGTGTGTCGGGACCCCAAGTACCGGTTAATGCCCTTCTGGTACTATCTCTATTTTTCCACCCCTCTGTATTTCTGTTTTCCTTTCATAACAAATCACGATCTTCTACTTTTTCTCCAACCAATCAACCTTTTCCAATTTGAATTTAATTCCACCCCTAAACTAAATCCTCCACTTTTCTATTTTTTATAATTTCAGAACTTGTCATTTTCGGAGACAGTTGCAATTTGGCCTTCAGTTCAATCATTCGCTCTTTCGGTTCGGTTTCTATTTTCATTAATTTCGAGTTTTACACAGTCCACTCTACATAGTTAAGTTTTTTTGTTATCCATTTGTTTTGTTAAAGGATTTGTTAATTCTTAAGTGTTGTAAATATATAGTTAAAAAAACAAGTGCAGTTTCACAATTACATTTGCGTAATTCCTAAAACTGGTCCCTACAATAATACAAATAAAGTCGTCAAACTACGGCGACAACATGACCCTTCCTCATTTATTTCAAAAAATTCCTTGAACTCGAATCTACTATTTATCATAGGTGTATTAGCATTACTTAAGAATACCGTCCACCTTCCAAGATATAAGCAAATACTAATGTTACATACTATACACAACAAGTGAAATATAGGGTCAATTGAAAAGTCCCCGGCCTGACACATAGATGGCGGCACCAGAACTAAATCCATATGATTTTCAGTTAGTCCTAACCTTCAAAAGACGCGTCTATAAATTTGACGGCTGTCGGATCATTAGTTTGTGAATTATAGCATTTTTAGTGAAGCAACTTTTGTTATTGTGAAAAAAATGGATAAAAAGGAATTTCGCGT